GTTACATACTTTAGCATTGTTACTTCTGCTCTTGTTTTCCTGTTTCTATTTTTTCATTAGTTCTTATTCTCAAATCTGAAATTCGATTGTCCAAATAATTAGGGAATGTTGTAGTTCTAATACTTATTTTGTTAAATCCTCGTGGGAACGATATTTTTATACTATTTGATAACTAGTGCACTTGCTAGGGTTATAATCATAGCTATCAGCTGCTACCGCTACCAGGATCCTAATAGGCTTAAGAATGGTCACTAGCAAAAAGGTTTACTCATAGTTGATTCCCTCTTACTAAGTGCACCCTTTGCCCCAAGACGAGCCTTGTAGGTCTCAACTTTACCATCGGGGCCCTTCTTCCTCTTATAGATTCATTTGCAACCAGTTGCTTTTACCCCAGGGGGCGGATCTACTAGAGTCCAGACTCCATTGATCTCCATTCAGTCAATCTTAACTCTCATGGCATCTACCCACTTCAAGGAATCTATTTTCAACATAGCTTCCATATAAGTCACAAGATCCTCTTCACTGCTCGTGGCTTCTACTAAGTAACTTTCAATGTTATAGTCATAACAATCTGGAGGCCTGGATACCCAGGTAGACCTTCTAGGTTGGATATTATCTGGAGCTTGTGGAACATCTACCACTACCCCTGAGCTCTCCTCATCAAGAATAACTTCCTAATGATAATTGTTCAAGATGTAATATTCCTCCAAGAAATGGGCATTTCGACTACAAAACCCCTTTTATTTTTTTGGGTCATAGAATAAATATCCTATAGAGCCTTTGGGATAGCCTACAAATAGGCAACGACTGGTCTTGGGTTCCAATTTGTCAACACTTGTTCTTTTAACATGTGTTGAACAACCCCAAATCTTGAAGTGTCTTACACTTGGTTTCTTACTGGTCCATAGCTCATACAGAGTCTTAGGAATGGATTTGGTTGGAACCTGGTTCAACACGTATATCGCAGTCTCTAATGCGTACCCCCAAAAGGATGTAGGCAGTTCCGAGTGTACGAGAAGTGATCGGACAATATCCAATAAAGTCTGATTCCTCCTCTCTGACACACCATATCCAATTGTGTCTAGGGGTCAAGTGTAACATTCCAATTTTGCCCATTTATCTCTAAGGTATAGGGCAATACTGGAATTTGGTCTAGTTCAAGGTTTCAAAATTATCAACCTCACAGAAGATTGGGCAGCTTGGGAGGCCATTAATATTGCTATTAACTACAGGGATTAGAAATCTTTCTCTCTCTCTCTTCCTCTCTATCCCTCTATCTTTATTTTTCTTCCTTTTATTCTTCTCTTCTGCTCCCTCCTATCCTTCCTCTCCATTCACACCATTCGTAGATTATCATCTTTCTCGGCTCTCTGGTTATAGAGGAGATTTCAAAGTATCAAATGAACGATTATGGCAGTGGCACAATGATTTGACTACCCACTATTCGTTTTCAAGCTTGTTTGTTATTTGAACCATCATCTCCTCCTCATTAAGCTCTAGGGTCATTCTTGAGCATTGTGATTGTTCTAGTTTGATGCAAAGCTAAAGGGAATCTCACAATGGCGTAGATTGAATCAGATAGAAGGTTCGATCAAAGCCGACCATAGTTGTCATCGTTTAAATTATTGTAATTCTTGGTATAAGTTGAACTTCACTATGGGAAGGTTCCCAATCTCACCAATGGATTAGGATTTAATCCCGATTCCCTTGTTGCATTGACCGATGTCAAGACAAAATCTTGAATCTAATAGGTTCCAATCGATCTTATAATTCTTTTTTGGGGTTTTTACCATTCAGTCCACCCCTAGGTGGAGCTACTAGTAGACTGGGGTGGGCTGAATCCTGTCCATGGATTGATGCCAAATTCATGGGTAGGATGTGGTTTATAGGGGGGCTACTAGTAGACTAGGAGGGGGCTGAAAATTAGATTTCTGAGGGGCATTGCAGTCCAAAAATCCCTTCTTATTTTTTCTCATTTTGACTTGGTCATTGTTTTCTTCATCTTAAACATAGTATTCAATCATCAATCATTAGAGCTCATTGTGAAGTGATACTAAGCCTCCCTCTATGAAATTGACGATGAATGCAAATGCGATGATGAGAGTTGCCTGTTTTGTTGTTTTGCATATTACCATTGGTTTCCATTTGGCATGGCTACTAGGTCTATTGTGCTTAGAATTATTTTGAGTTTGTAGTTTAATGTTTTTCTATGTTAGCTATTGGTTTGTAGTGTTTTTCTATTATTTTAAATTAATGGAATGAGTTGATTTGAAATGAACTATTCTTTTGGTTCAATCTCATGGGACGTTAAGGGATGGATCCAAATTTGTTGAACCGGGATCGAAGAAAACTATTGTTGTGAGCTTCCTTGGTTGGTCATTGAGAACTCAGCTATTTTAGCTAAGAATAAAAAATAATATATAATAGCATCAAGGCAAAGTCCTGGAATCTAAAGCTTTAGGAATTGGAATATCGACGATCAACCTCGCAGAAGCTTGGGCAGTTTGGGAGGCCATTAATATTGCTATTAACTATAGGGATTAGAAAATCATCATCGAAGGTGATTCTAAGTTAGTAATCGACTACCTCAATGGAAGACTATCGCCTCCATGGAGAATGAAAATTGTCATCAAAGAACGCCAGAACCTAGTTGACTTCTTCAACTTAAATATCAAATTCAAGCATGCGTATCGGGAAGCAAATCAAGCGGCAGACGGGTTAGCTCACAAAGCTCTTAATAGCCAGGAGTATAATAGAGATGTTAGGGGAAGAGCTACCCCCAGATTTGTGTAGCTTTATCTCTTGCCATAAAAAAAAAATAACAATAATAATAAAAGGAAGAATAGGAAGAATGCTTTGCCAGGAGGTCAAATTTAACTTAATCAAAAAAATTTTAAAAAAATGAAAATGAAATAATAAATAAAGTAACAAAATAAAATAATAAGTAAATTTGGCAAAGTGTGAAGTAGGATGCCTAGTCCATTAGGTTTGGATTCATCTAGGAGACAAAGGAGGGATGATAAGCTACTGAAAGGGAAACATTACATGAGTAGAACCTTTAAAAATAAGTAAGAAAAAATCATCATTATCAAAATAACATATTAAACCTTTAAAATTAAAACCATACCTCTTAAGAACACTATAATCTCAAAATTCATCTTTGAGTTCTCTTTCGGTAACTCTGGGATCTAAGTTCCCAACATAGACTTGAGACATTATTCCAGGCCACTATCAACCGTGAAAGAAAATATAAGGTTTGCAGAAACCCTTGCGATTTGATCAAGACAGCGAGAGACGACTTTGGAGAACCACGCAACGCAAAATTCTATTACCCTAAGAATGCCAATTCAGAATCCCTTATACCCTTCGACCTCCAATTCAGAATCCCTTATACCCACTGACCTCCTACTTCCAAAAAACAATTATTAATCCATGAAGGGTTTATATAGCATTATCTTCTCTTCTCTTGCTCGAACGAAAAAAGGTCGGTGTTGGGTTGGATATCTCCAAATCAAAAGAAATCTTCCTCTTCTCAAGTGAACAATAAATAAAGGTAAATGCTGGTTTAGAGTCGCATGACACTTATAACCTAGATTTCCTTCTCATTCTCCATTCGAACAATGTTTCTCCCTCTGTAAGATTCTTCGTTAAAAACCTAGGAAGAAGCGGATTGCCTTCATGTAGGAGAAAAATTTTGGACTCCCTGCATCGGCGTGATTGTATTAGACCGGTTTAATTTAAAACCGTCGCATCTGCTATTTTAAACCGTCGTGTCTATTGCCGAACCCAATGTAGGCGGCGGTCTACTGAAGACCATCTCTTCAGGTATCACTATAGTGGCGGTCACTAAGACTGCCGGGTCTAAACCGCCGGCTTAGACCGTTCTTATAGTGGCAGTAGCAAAAGATTCTTTAAACAAATAATGAACAGCTTCGAGTCCCCTTCAATGATGATAAAATGGCATTTAAATTTGAGAGCAAGGTTGCGGGCTTTTCCATCAAACGTGGGTTGTTGATTTTTGCCGACTATTGTTTGCAAATTACTAATTGATTTTTCTATTTCCTTAAACAAATGGAGAGCTTTATCCAATAGCAAAGGGGAGTAATTTTATCATTAAAACTTTAACATTTCTATTTTTTCAAATGAACCATAGAATGACAACACTTTGTTTCAGTTAAAAGCTTGTTCCCATTCACCTCCATTCTAGCTTTATAGTTTCCAAACCTACACCACAAATCCCAAATTGAATTGTCCTTTGATAAGGCTAACCAAGCTGCTGATATTTTAACATACATTCCTTGGCTTTTCTTCTTAGTTTTGCTAGGGGTTGTTACAAGTTTTTTTAGCAGTCTTTGGATTTATCAAAAAATATATATAAGAATAAGTTTATACTCTTTTGGAAAACCAAGGGAAGGTCTAAGGGATTTATCCATTAGACTATGTCCGGTTTGAAGGGAAAGGTAGGAAAGGGAAGGGAAAGTCAGGTGTAAAGGTTTTTCTACCTTTTCTTTCCTTTCGCTGCATTTTCCTTCAAACCAAACAAGCGTAAATGTAAAAATTCTAAACCACACTCTGCAAAACAGCTTTGAAGTTCTCCGTGCTTCTTCCTTCGTCTCCCACAGCCTTTTCTGCCATCTCTTTAAGCCTCCTACCATTTTCCCTTATTTCCGTCCCTTCATTCATCGACAAAATCAAGTCCAGAGACTTCACCAATCCATCTTTCGTGAACATGTCACCCTCAACTCTGATCCCAATTCGCCACACATCCGTCACCAAGCGCCCGTTCAGCCTTTGATCTCCGAAAAATGGACGGCAGATCATCGGTGTCCCGCTGATAATACTCTCCGACACCGAGTTCCACCCGCAGTGTGTCACGAACACGGCCACCGCCGGATGTCGCAGGATCCGTGTCTGTGGGACCCACTGCACAATCACTCCCCTCTCTTTTGTCCTCTCTACAAATCCACGTGGCAATTGTTTATGCAGCTGTTCCCTAAGAGACCACAGATACGGTGCATTACTCGCTTCCAACCCTTCCGCGACAGCTGCAAGCTCAGTAGCCTGTGGTGCCGTCACCGTGCCGAAGCTGATATATACCACCGAGCAGTGTTTCTTGCCGTCCAGCCACGAGAGGCAGCCGGTCTCGTCCGGAACGGACGGTGGAGGGGTCACGAGGGCAAAGGGTCCCACTAAGAGTAACTTCTTTAACTTTGATTTCAGGTCCTTCACAATGGTGGGATCCAACTCTTCGAAGGAATTGATTATAAGGGCAGCGGCACGTGGCAACATCTTACCCATCTGATGCAACATTCGAGAAAAGGTTGACTCAAGGGGACCAAAGATGACTCCTTCCGGCAAATCCTGGAGCCTTACAGATTCCATGCCGGGAATGAATCCGAGTTGCTCGTCCTCACGCCCAGCGAAGCCTATGCCCAGATGGGAATACAATCAGACAATCAGGACCGTTGATGTCTCAGCCGAAGAGAAAATGGAGCTAGATATTGAGAAAGTTACCATTTGGTAGGACGCCGATGGTATCGCGTATAAGATCGGTGTGGAAATGAATGGAGATGGAAGCCGTTCCAGCCGTCCAAAATGGGACCCATGGGATGCCCAGTTCCTCCGTCATCTCTGCCGCGAAGTATAGGAAAGCGTCGCTCAACACGCAAGTGATATTCCCGGTGTTGGCGACTGCAACCTCAAAGCTGTCCTTGAAATTACCTGGGGTTGCATGGAGAAAGAGCTCGATTTCCTCCATTGGGTTCCCTGAAGGCTGGTAGCCGACGGGAAGTCCGTCGCCGACGTCGTAAGCTTTGAAGTTATCGGGGGTGTCGGCGGTGGATGTGAAGAGGGAGGCGTTCGACTTCGCCGTGGTGAAGAACGAGAAGGATGCATGTGGAGTGGCGGTTGCTAGTCTACGTGTGAGGTTGAGGAGAGGAGGCGCGTGGGTGCCGAATGGGAACGCACATACGGCGATGTGGAGCTTGCTAGTGCTGCTTCTCTGGTGAACGATTTCTGCCATTGTTGAAGAGGGAGAGAGAGAGAAAGAGAAGAAGAGAATGGAGGGATGGAATTGAAAAGGTACAAACTGGATCGTTACTAAGGTCTTGTAGCGGAGACCCAGCAGGAGAGAGGGCAGGTTTAGGATCGGTCAACGTTAGGACTTTACAAGAAAAAAATGTGGCCTTGGACTTTGTGGTCAGAGATAGATTTAGAGAGAGAGAGAGAGAGAGTCAACGTTTGACAACGCGTAGAGCTCGCACAAGTTAGTTGCATAAAATTCCCGAAAATATTTTTGCTGCTTGAATATCGGGTACAAAGCGTTCTTCAGAGTCGAAAACATGATAATTGATGAACAAGAAATCAAGACTGGTTTATGCTTTTTATGAGAGATAGATGTGCATGTGCCCTTTAAAATGATAATAATTTATAAGATACATTGACACGTGGTACTTACTGTTTAGTTATTGTCTTGCGGTATCCTTTAAGTTTTCTAAAATTGTTATTGTCATTAAATCAGGATAAAAAAGTTGATTTTATGTTTTTACCCTTCTATTAATTCTCATTTAGATCAAACTCATTTTGCAAATTATTTTTTTACCCTTCCTTAATGAGGGATCAATTAAAGAATTATTCTTGTCCGAAAGCTGTTAATTAAAGGATTATTCTAGCGGAGAAGGATATCATCGTTCTAGTGGAGAAAATCCACAATCATCTTCAACGACTTTCGCTGCAAACTCCGGCAAGTGGTACGGTAGTGCACAACATCTTTGTATGGAAAACCATGCATTTTCGTCATGCTTTTTCGGTGGAAGGACGACATTTGTCATCTCTCTAAGCTAGTTTTTAGAGTTTTTTCTTACGACTTTTCACTGTTTTGTAGTGGGATTTGAAAAGGAGTTATTTAAAAGCCTGCATTTTCTGTCATCACAAAGGTATGGTCCAGTTTTTTATGTGTTTTTTAGCTAGGTTTTTGGGGACCATTCACAAAGGTTTGTTGACAAACCCCCCATTCGGTCTGGGTAAAACGACACTTTGAATTGAGGTAGATAGCTAGACTTTTGGGGACCACTCACAGATCTGGATATATGTGGTGTGTTGGGACCCATGTGTCTGCTTTAATTCATACACATGGGATCCACACGAGGGTCCAGGTGCTCGGCAAAATGTCTGAAACACCGTTTCCACATGAAACTGCCAATACCACTAAATAAATGTAGGGCCCATGATTGGAATGTTATAGATGGGGAATTTAACTTATGTTATAGCTTGTGTATGCTTATATGTTCTAGCTCATAGTGTAGTTTATGGTGTAGGTTACAGTGTAGCTTATTTTGTAGATTATGTAGGTTATATTGTAGCTTATTGTGTAACTTATGGTATAGCTTATGCTGTATGCAAACCAATAATGTATGTAATCATGTGGAAATAGTAGCTTATAATCAGCATGTTGTAATTATATTTGTCCCTATCTATGATGTAAGTGATGAATGTGAGTAAATACATGTTCATCATCAATTATGGTGGTCATTGGAAGACCACGGATGGAAAGTTATCATACGTAAATGGTTATTTTGGACATGTGGATAATGTAGATAGTGACAGAATATGCTATGTAGACAACTTGAATGACTTCTGTTCATTGGCTGCTATAGCTCCTAGAAGCATGGTGACCATCAACTACAAGATATCAGGATAGGAGTTAGATGAGCATTTAAGTGTTCTTGGTTGTGAAAATGATGTGATGGTAATGTTTGCCACCCACGGGGACCTCCGTGAGATAATGTTCTATGTTACTTATACCAAAGCCAAATGTGTTAGTATGGATGATGGGTGCAGTGGCAAGGGAAATGAACAATTCCAAGATGATGATGATATTGATTGTTATGTAGTTGATGATGGAGGGGTAGCTGATGATAGCCATGGTAATGATGAGGGGTTGGATGATGATGGGGAATTTGAGGGTTTGTATGATGATGGTAATGATTATGAAGATGATGATGGTGGGGATCAAGAGGGTTCATATGATGATGTTGGGGATCATAAGGGTTCAGATGATGATGGTGGGGATGGTGGTAATGAAGGAGTATAGGATGGTGGTAATGAGGGTGTACATGATGGTGGTAGTGCTGATTTGTCTGACCAGCCTATCAGTGAGTATGACAATCCAAGGGAAAGGGGCAATACAAGGGATTTTGACTTTTCCAAACCAAGATTTCGGGTTAGTATGGAGTTTACCACTTTGAAAGAGTTTAGGCAAGCATTGAGGCAATATTGTGTGGTGGAGGATATAGAGATCAAAAGGAAAAAAAAATTGAGAATAGTAGGTTTACTGGGGTTTGTGCCGCAATTAACTGTGGCTAGAGGATTCATGCATCCCTTAGTCATGATGGAGGTAACTTCATAGTGAAGACCCTCAATGATACAAATAATTGTATCAGGGTGACTATAAATAGGGAGGCAACAAATACATGACTGTCAACAAAGATTGAAGGGTTGTTAAGGGCTGATCCTAACATGTCAAGCAATGTGCTTAGGTCTGAAATCAGGAGAATGTATGGGATAGATGTCACCTGGAGGAAAATACATAGGGTTGAGCTTAAGACTATTGATAGAATCAGGGGATCATTAGCAGAATCATATGTAGTACTCCCTTAGTACTGTACAACCTTACTTGCAAGAAACCCTGGGTCTATTGTGAAGCTACATGCCTCACTTGCCACAAAAGAAGACACATTCGGGGTTTTCAAGAGAGTCTTCATATGCCTTGTAGGTCCAATGGATGGGTTCTTGGATGGCTGTAGAAAGATTATTGGACTGGATGGTTGCCACACCAAGACTAGTGCAATAGTATAATGCTCACAACTGTAGGGATTGATGGCAATAATGGCATCTTTCCTATTGCATATTCTGTGGTGGAAGCTAATAGTAAGGACAATTGGATATGGTTTTTTGTTAAGTTAAGAGATGCTCTAGTATTGATGACTCATACAGGTGGACATTTATGTTGAATACGCAGAAGGTATGTATATATTTGTTTGTAGTTAATGCCTAATTTCCTTTGTTTTGATTACAATTAGCACTAATAAATGTGATGATTGTTTGCAGGGGCATTGTTGAAGTAGTATCATGTTGCATGCCTGGTGTAAATCAAAAGTTTTGTCTACGACATCTATATTGCAACTTCAAAAAACTCTTCAAGGGGAAGACATTGAAGGATGCCATATGGGTTGCTGGGAAATCATATACCCATTCTAACTTTGTTCATTACATGGAAGTAATCAAAAGCATATCTAGAGATGCATATGAATGGGTTTGACCTAGTAGTTAAGTCTAATGACATAACAAACAACTAGACAAAGTCATTTAATGCGTGGATTGGGGAGGCCAGAGCAATGCCTATTATCGAGATGTTGGACATAAGAAAAAGATGGAGGCAGAAGATTTGTATAGACACAAAGCATCCATTGCACCTATGCCTGATCTGTTGCCGAAGGTGCAAGCAATCATTGACAAGAGAAGAAAGGAAGCTAGGTGATGTTTACTGCCCATATACTTATTGTGTTGTTGGTTTGAATAGTTCATTGTACATGTACTTATTGTCTAATGCATTAACAGATCTATTAGGGTTTTCTAATCAGGACAATATGAATATCAAACACTAGGAGTTAACTTGGTTGAAAATGTCACCAAGATGGATGTAATGTTATGCACATGTAAGGTTTGGGATATAAGTGGCCTACCTTGTGCTCATGCACTTGCAGTGCTTACTTTTACAAAAGGTAGGGTGGAGGACCTATGTGACAAGGAAACCTATGAAAAGGTGTACAATCATTTTATTCATGCTCTCCCAGGGCAGAAATACTGGCAACAAGTGCAACACCACCCAGTTAGACCTTCCATAGTGAGGAAGATGCCAGGTCAACCCCCAACCAGAAGAAGAGAAGAGGATGAAGCAGCCCCACTATACCGTGCCCCACTAAAACGTAAGATAGTAAGGTGTTCAATTTGTGGTATAATAGAGCACAATAGAAGGAATTGTAGAGCCCCTCCTCTGAATATGAACAGAGAGACTCCAGTGGTAAAATTACACAAGCCTCAACACAAATGAACTTATGAAGAATAGTTTATTTGTGTACTGTGTACTAAGTAGGGTATTTGAGTTGTAGGTATAGAGGCCTATTACTGATCATGATCCTACCCAGACTGGAAGGAGGAAAGTCTTGCCACCCAGGAAAGGGGCTATATGTACACAAGTTGTTGCTGACACATACATGCCCCATCAAACTCCAACAACTTATCAAGTTGGGTCATCATTAGGAGCAGTAGTTGGTAGTACAAGTGGAATGTCTGATATGGGTGGTAGAACAAGGGGAAGGGGGAGGTCTGTTAGGGGAGGTAGAGGTGGTAGAGTTGACATGGGGAACTTTCAACATCCGAACATTATAGGAAGACAGGTGAGGACACTTTAGTTATCATAACAATTTATGAATTCAATTGAAGTTTGTACTAACATTCATTCCAATTGTGTGTGTAGGTAGAGGAACAAAGTAGTCAGGATTTAAGATACTCCCAATCGTGAGAGGATCCATATGATGACCTGGGTTATTTCAGACATCTAACTTTCAGTTGTGTTATTCTATGAATATATTTTGAGATACCCATTTATTTTTTGAACTTTGATATATTTTGACACACCCTTGTTGTTTCTTGAACTTTGATATATTTTGACACACCCAATGGAAGTGGAAGACACATTGAGTTATGGTTGTGTTATTTATGATGATGTATATTTAAACTTATGCTTAGTTGTGATAGTTGTGTTATTATTCTATTCAATTTTAATTGTCTTCCTTCTAGTATTAATCCTTAAAAGCAACAGAAGGAAGGATTGGTCTTTAGTCCATAAAGTCTCCACAAGGCATCCAACAGATCAGAATTTATAGGTACATAGTGGAGATAAAAACAGTTTATATCACTATTCACGAGATGGCCTTTGATCCATTCTGTCTCCACAAGGCCTCCTAATAGATCAAAAATTATAGGTACATAGTAGAGATAAAAACAGTGTTCAAGAGATAGATTAGTTGGATGAAGGGGCTTTGTAAATTAGCTCCATTTCATCCCATGAATATGGATTCAAGAGAAAGCTT